CTATGATTCTATGATTCTATGAATTTTCCTTTGCAAAGGAATTACCAAGGGAGACATTGGAAACTCTTCTACCCTTCTCAAACTGCTTGATGTGCATGAATCTCCCTTCATGTGTTGTGCCTTCAGCTTTGTTCTGCCAATGACCAGGCCCAACAAAAATGATACAGCCAGACGCAAGCCCAGCCAGTTAAAGACATAAGAGAACGGTGCCCACATGGCAGCTCTCATCCCTCTAGCCCATGTTTGCAAAGGTCCAAGCAGACCAGGGCCCAGCTCCAGGGAGAGTCAGGAGGTCTTTCCTGAACCAGGAAGCTCTGGGGAGGGCACTCCACAGACAGACACTCCTGACTCCCTGCCAGTGGTCCCAGCTTTTATCCCCCCAGCCAGTTAAAGACATAAGAGAACGGTGCCCACATGGCAGCTCTCATCCCTCTAGCCCATGTTTGCAAAGGTCCAAGCAGACCAGGGCCCAGCTCCAGGGAGAGTCAGGAGGTCTTTCCTGAACCAGGAAGCTCTGGGGAGGGCACTCCACAGACAGACACTCCTGACTCCCTGCCAGTGGTCCCAGCTTTTATCCCCAAGCAGACACCTGACCTTTGTCAACTCACTGCAGGACCCCTGGGGCTCATTTCCCTTCTGGCTCTCCCTGCAGGGCCGGCCGCAACCTGGGGGGCAGCTATAAGGCAAACTCACCACCTCTTTATGAAGGGCTGTGGGAATCACCCATATGTCAACCTTAATTCAGGGGCTCGGGGGTCAGACCCCAGCATTTCAAGCATAAAAGAAAAAACCCCAAACTTCTGTATTTATGAACTCAGGTTTAGCAGCAGAAGAGATGAGAGAAAAAAAAAAGAAAAAAAACAAAACCAAAAAACAAAACCCACACCCACAACAAAACAACCTTCTTGCCTACTCTTGTCATACCTCAAAGGAAATTCATGCATCCACTACAGCCAATGGTCTCCTCAGGTAACATACAGTTGACATCCTATTGCAACATATACAGGAACTTTTTCATTTTAGAATGAATGCACCTACCACAGTTCCCACAGCAGTTCTGCTGACATGGCAAAATGGCTCACAGCTTCCTTCTGCCAAAGACTGCCACAATCCAACCACCATCCTGCTGCTCACAAGCTAACAGCAGCTCTGTGAAGGTGTTTCATGAAACAGCTTCTCCATTTTGAAGTTCATCCAATACCAACAACTATCAATATTTTTCAACACTATTCTCTGTGGTAATTGTTTCTCACTTATTTCTCCCTCCAGAATAATAACCACAGGCTTGAGAAAGTCACAAAGCAAGTAGTTCTTGTTTGCATTTCCTTGTATTCATCTGCACTTTGGTAACAAGACGACAGGTTATACCAGCCTATGATATCCTGCACGACTTTCCACCTCAGCCCCCCGATACTGGTCTGGCCACACCAAGACTTGCCAATGCTTGCTGGTGCTGCTGAGCTACACAGCCAAGTGTGTTTTATGTTTTTTTTAAAAAAAAGATAAAGCCATCACAACAACTGCATTGACTCTTGGTAATGACATCATCCCACTACACCCTGAACAGAGGCCTATTGTCAGAACTGACTTTTCTAATGTCCTGTTTTAACACAGGAACAGGAGATGAAGGCAGCTCTCACTAGGAGTCATCCCCCCTGCTGACACTGACTGGAGAAGGGCATCAAGGATGGCTCAAGACAATTCGGTTCCTTACAAGTTTGCCAGGGAACACCAACAGCCAAAGCATTCACAAGCAATTCTATCACTTTCCTGCTCAAAGTCTGTGGGGTTTGTTTGTTTAATATAACAACCAGGGTGGTGGTGGTGGTGGTTGTTGTTTGTTTTTATGTAACATGCACAACTTGAGTGGGATGCACGTTGATCAGCTAGCCAGCAAGTTAAGGTTTGGGGCCTCTGAGTAGTGCCCATCACCATAATAATAAATTAAATACTAATGTAGTAAAGGACATTGAAAGAAGGGTTAGATTAGGACACTTCTGAAAGCAAGACCAATGCGAAAAAAATACCTGAGTATAATTTATACAGAGAAAATATTTAAAGTCATCACCTCTGAGGCAGCAAAAACGGCCTCCCACATTAATATATAGTTACAGCTATAATTACATTAGAAGAGATCTACCAACGTAGGAATTTCAATATGCTCCATGAGGAAAACATTTCTACTGGGACTACAACAAATCAATGTGCAGCTTTACACGTAACTGTGGAGAAGAGTAATCCTTCCCCTTGTGCAAAATGAACTGCACTAGGGAAAGTGACAGTTCTGTAATTAACTATGCCAAGAAATTTTGCTGGTGTCATTGCTTCTGGTTGGGAATCACATCTCCATAATCCATCTGAAAAAACATCTAGACCAGCAAATGCCTGGGGTGACCAGAGAACTCTTACAAGCACCGTTTCGGTATGAGAAGCACAGAAATCAATTCCACTTCATCACCAATAATATTTTTTTCAGGAAACAATACAGTTATCCTATCTTCCTTTTTCCCTTTAATTGACTGATGCCAATCCACCATCCAGTGCTAGCGCTCCACTTTCATCTTCCTGGTAGAAGAGCAGCACCATGTGATAGCTCTCATACACCTGCATCAAGAATAGCAGTGTATTTTTACAAAAACAGTTTAGGGATAATTCAGAAACCACTTTCTGTAACGTGCTCTCAATTTGCAAGCCCCCAAAACCACAACAAGAAACCAAGAAAGCAACAACGTGTCCAACAAAGAGGACAGAGTTAGAATAGGCAGAGGTATTTTGAGAAGTAATTATGCTTTAGCAGGGTCACGTGTGTTTCAGATCCAGAACAAATCAAGCAAAGCAGATTTGAGCACAAATTGATAAATACACACACAAGAGTGCTCCAAACAGCTTCTCTGTAATTAGAAAGGAGTTTTCAGACTGAAACAACAGTTTGTATCCTGCTATGATAAAGAAAACATGAAGAAAACTTTGTTATACTGAATAAAAAGGCTTAATTGAGTCTGGTTATCTTAATTGCCCCAAGCAAATCAGTTTTCTGATCTATACTTCTTTGAAATACCAGTACAAGAGGCATCAAGCAACAGCCTGGGTTACCAGCAAAAGCGCTCAATTCTTTTATTGGAAATAATTATTGGTTTACTGGAGAGATTGTGTTTCATGTTTACTTTCTACCTTTGGTGGTATCTGAAATGCTGTTTAGCAAGGCACACATCATGTCTCCTTCAATGTGGTGAGGATTTAGGATGTGAGCTGACCGCTGGGTCATCTTAAATTGAGTTTCCAGTTCCAGGAAGCTTTTGTCTCCAGAAAGTATAGTGAAAGGAATTTGCTTGGGCAGGTGCTCATCCAGACGACCAGCCTGTCCAGAGACAAATGACAAGCGTGTTGAGAGGAGATCACGTTTTCACCTTGTGTGGTCTGGCTAGCTTTGAGTAAGACAGGTCTTCATAGGGAAGCCTTCTACAGCAACTTACCTCTGCTTTTATGGTCCAATGCATGCTAGGCCACTGTGAAAGGTATTATTTCAACAGTCTGACACCTCATTTATTCTACACATATGACAATAGATAAAGGAAATGGCTACCAGACCAATACAGAAGGGGTATGAACAAATTCCTAAAAAGCAGCATTTCAGAACCATCTACATAAAATAAATCATCTGTGTAGAGTATTATAAAAATCCTAAAAAAAGTGTAATTAATATATATAAACTTACAAAACACTTATATAAACTAGATTCTCACGTAGTTTTATCTAACTGATAAAGCACTACAGAAAGAACACAAGTCCCCATGGCATCCCAGATTCCTGTCCTTCACCTGCACCTCTCCCAGACCAGCCAAAGCCCCACATATACTAAACAGAGGCACTGATCTTTGTCAATTCAACAGGGTCTCTGAAAATGGCACCCACCCAACTCTATCTTAAAGATGGGCCTAGATTTGAGCTACTTGAAGAGAGAGGCAGGAGTTAAATGTCTCCCTCTGAAACAGAAACTGTAAGAATTGTGGGTTTTCATTCTCCATTCCCTAACCAGCCCCACTCCCCTCCACAACAGGCTGATGTCCTATTCATGTTAACTTTTTTATTCCCATAAATTTGTTTTTAAAAGGAGTAAATCAAGGTTTATCGTTCTTTTTAGTGGATGTAAAAGTCACATGAACAGAATCTAAGAATCTCATCTGTAATTAGTGCTTAACATCAATAGCAGATATCATCTGCCACTCTTCTCTAGCTACGTGAAAACACAACAGTACAGAAGGCGTGCACTAACTTACATGAACACAAAGAGCAAAGTCTGCTGCTTCTCTTCTGGTACCACAACGTGGATGGAGAAAGAAACAGCCAATCCTCTTAAGATAATTGTAAATTTTGCACTGCACGGGAGGTTTCCAGTTGCTGTATCCTCCTAAACAGTGAAGGGGGAAAAAAAAAAAAAAAATAAAATTCCCAAAACAACAATAGCCACAAAATCCCAGACATGCCACAATGAACTAGGAATCCAAGAAATCAAAGGCGAAGATAAATCTGGCTTTAAAGACAGAATTTCTTTTGACCGATGCGAAAGCTAAAATAAACGTACGAATAGAATCCTGGAAGAGCCCTTCTTCTAGGATCCAAAAGAAAAAAAGATAGTAGCGATCAGGCTAGGCCTGATCCTACAAAAAGCTTCTCATTCAGTTTTGCTTGGATTTTTCTTCTAATCCTGAAAAGTTTATCTTCTAGGTATCACGTGCATTTAGACACAAGGATGTAATCTTTTCCAGCATTAAGCACAGTTATGGTTCATGTGCAGAAGTAGAGGAGCTCTGGGAACATAGTACAAGGAATAGAAATGCTTCTCTCAGCGAATCCTGTACTAATGCAATAACCAAGATTACTTCCAATGGACTCTGCAACTGCCTGACACATCGCTTGTCAGAATGCTTTAAAAAGAAGATCCAAGAACTGGAGCAACAACTGAAGTAAATGCGAGAGGTCCTGAGCAACACTTGAATGTAGTCAGGGATAAGCAAGATGAGTCTACAACTTGTAAAAACAAAAAAAGTGCAGGGATTTTCTAAACAGTATCCTAAAACACGTAGTTACTGGCTAAGAAAATAGTTGGATAATGGGTAGCAGGTCTACTACAGATAAAAAGAATAGCAGGTCAAAACAGATTGCAAGAGAAAGGAAAGAATCAGCAAGTCTCTCAAGAAAAAATGGAAGAGCTTGCAGTTACTATGGCAACTTAGAGGCAAACAACTAGAAGGATAATGTGAAAGCAGCAAATAAGAATTTCGTGACATACCCAGTTGCTAAGAAATAATGGGCCTGCAACAGAGACGGAAAAAAACGTTGCTTTATCTGCCAGCTGATGGAGTGGGCTGGATGTAAGAAAGGGATTTTGAGTGGGGAGTGAAAGCAGTCAGTGATGGCCCCTCACGTGAGGCTATGTGAAGCTAAGGCACAAGCAAATGGCCTCTAGAGGACTCTGCATTCCCAACTGCCCACCCCCGACTCTGACAAAGAAGCAGAAACAATCTCTGGTAGATTTCTCCTGAGATGGGTTTTTTGTTTGCTTGGGTTTTTTTTCCCCCCCTTTTCAACCTAATAGCTGCAAGAGGTTATCAAAAATTGTATTTAGTAACAGGCTACGTTGAAACTATGTAGGGGTATCTGTCCATGAGCAAAATGGCATGTGCCAGTCATTCTCATCTGTTGGTCATAGCCTTGGTCACTGCTCTTTGGGAAAGGCTTGTAGTCGCTAGCCCTGGCCTGCATAAAGGTACAACATATACAGCTGGCCAGGACAGCAGAAAACAATGACTGAACTGTGTTTACTGTGGCAGAACTAAAACACAGATGGGCTAAGAACAACTGAATATATGAAACCAGAAACAATGCAGAGCCTGGGCAACACAATGGAAGAACTCAAAACAAAGCTAAGGCTGCATTAACAATCTGAATAACAGAAATAATGCAAAAGTATCATATAAAAATCATTTAAAAGAATATCAGAAATGTTGTTTGGGAAATGCAGGGAAAAAATAATCAGAAGAGGCAAGAATTTTGCTGTGGTTTGATAAGTTAAACAAACAAGAACAGTATGTATCAAATAACTCTGCAAACCATTATTACCAGAGGGCACCTACAAAAATAAATCCAGCTGTGTCTGGGAGCCTCAGCGCTCCCAGGCTCTGTGACAATATAGTTGACAGTGATGGACTGCTGAAGTATTCTGATATGAATATGACCCATTATAACCACCACTAACTCTTCAGCGTGGGTTTTTCAGATCAAGCGCTCCAGGGGCCATTCCCACAACGCAACAATTCCATTTGGGAAGCAAGAAATCCAGTGGCACTGGCGTGGGCTGGGCTGGACTGTGCCAGCCGGCGTCCGTGCTTACCACATCCCTGGGCACAGTGCCTTCACTAGCACAGAGGTACGTCTGGGTGAGGGTATTAACAGAGGTTCCTAATAATAGTTCAGTAACACTAAGACTGTACCACGGATGATTGTCTCTTCTCTGATTGAAGGAAGAGAATTTCCAACAACAATACCGTTTGGACATTCCTAGTGCAATCCATTTTTTTCTTACTGAACCAAATCATGGCATTTTAACCTTGGAAAATAGTAAGCGCACAGAAAAGCCTGTCATAACAAACAAGCCTGAATCCATTAATGACAAACAAGTTTTAAGTAAATTAAATAGAACAACAAGTATGACTGAAATAGTGTCTGAATTCAGATGGGGAACGCTTGACATAACTGCGAAAAACTATGCTTTACTAAATAATTCTTTATAAAACCCAGCCAGAGTAGCTTTGTACTCTAGATCTCAAAGAGGCCTGACATTTCTTCATGTCAGACTCCTAATACTATCTTATTTTTATCTACAGAAAAACAAAACCAAATGTGTTTCCAAGGCCAAGGGGACTGAATAACAACAAAAAAATCCTAAATCACAATAGCTTCAGAAGTCAAGGAGTGCAGAAGTCAAGTGAAACTTGACCAGAAGTTAAGCTGGGCAAAGCCTCACAAGAGGAAGTAAGAACAAACAGGCTGGTCAGGCATACAGGAAAGAGAGCATAAACAAATGCAGCAGCCAGGCAGCAAGGATGAAACAGAAATCCAGGATGATTTAGGTATAATCTCAAACCCTCAAATATCAGTATTTTCAGTGGCTTTGTGCACATGCACAAGGACCCTGTCACTGTACAGAGAGGCCAAGGGCTAGGTGAGGACAATGCAGGTAACCATACAAAAGTAATGCCTGAGGACACACAACTGAGGAGCATAACCTGCTTTAACAGAGAAGACCAGAGGATTTGTTCCCAAAACTCCTACCACCCAAACAGGCTGCAGATCCAGGAGCACAGCTGACTGTTAGAACTTGGACTTTACATAAGAGATATAGTTGTGGTGCCTTCATCAGCTAACTGATGAAACTACATTAGAAATAACCTATTTCTAAGAGAGGTTAAAAAAAAAAAAAATATTATCCAAGCATCAAGAGGCCTGTTCTGTTCTACAGCAGCAGTATGAAAACCCTCAACTTAGAGGATGTTCCTGATTATCTTTTAAAGGAAGATAACATTAAGAAGTGCAGTGCAATGGGTATTAGTAACTAAGTGTAAAACATGCCTGACAATCCCTGCAAGTCTGTTAATGTCGCCTACATTTCAGGCAATAGATATTTTGAAACTACCCCATATCTAGACTTTACTGAAGTGTTCATACTACAGGCAAGACAATTATAAAGGCAGATATGATCGATAGAAAAAGCATGAGGTGGACAAGAATTTGGTTCAAGAACAGTCAGGTAAGGAAAAGTATCAAGTTAAAAGGATGCTATTGGTAGACCTCACAAAAAGTTTCCTTACAAACTTAACAATGTGAGTTCCATCAGCCACCCTGTACCACTATTGCTGTCTTCCAGATGTGAGATACAGCTACTGATGTACAGGATGATCAGGGACATCCTTAGGGAGCTAGTCAGAGACAGAACAAAATTCAAGTACAAGAATGTAAAATCATGCCTTCTGGAACTAAAAAATAACCTTATGACAAGGACTTGGGAGTTAGGGAAAAAAAAAAATCTCCAAGTATTACAGATGTCCTGATAATTATGAAAACTTGGTATCATACAGCCTAGGTAAGCTCAGTAGGGAAGCCTGAAAAGACTTTTAAATCGTTCACCAATTCTGGAACATTACTGCACAAGGAATAACAAGAGCAATGGAGGTTAAGACTGAGTTAGGAAAGTTCAAGAATATTTCTATCACATGGTGCCTGTGACACTGACTTAAGGAGACCTACTGGCTGCCTCTTCCTTCTGTTCATTCTCCCAAACTGAAACAGTCTCCGCTCAGCTCTTTGCCCAGACTTGTTCAACTTTTCTTCCAATTTCCTTCAACCACTTTTTACCTTGAAAGCCCCAGATAAACGTCCCTTGGTTCAGGTTAGCTGGCAGCTGTGTGAATAAGCTTCCCCAGTTGTCCAGATCCACCAACACAATGTGAGTCATAGTACTCAAGTAGTCAAGATCAGGAAGTTCACCATCTTCAGTGGGATAAAAAGGACACATTTAAAGCTCGCCTGACTTTCTAGTCAACCAACATACATCAGCTTAAGATACTTTTTTGAAAATTCATGTATTCAACTGTTCTACAAGCTAAAAGTTACAAAACATGATCTTATTTGGCGATTGCATTTTTCAAAATCAGCTGAAGTAGCATTCAGTAACGCATGGATCAGACAAAAGTAGAATCTACCTACATGATGGAGTAGAGATTAATAGTTTCGTGGTAGGCACAGAAAGCTGTTGCCCTGCACTGAGACATTTTAATAGTTCATTTAAGATTCAACTGTGCACCCCCTATTATGGCAAGTCTCTGTGACACTTAATTGCTTACATGCATAAAGGCACATAAAATGCTTGGAGATGCTTTTTGCTGTATACCTAAATGTCAGCCTTTGAATCAAAAGCATTATGATACCATGAGTAATTAAAAACACTTCCAATTTTTGAAGGCAAGGTACACCTTCAGCATTCTTAGAATCATAGAATGGTTTAGGTTGGAAGAAGTGACATGAACTTAAATATTTGCATGCTTAAGTCAAAAAAACAAAAATACATACTGAGAATATAAATTCTCAGCTGAAATTATTTTTTGGCAAGCTAAGGAAACTGAGAATCATAGAATCACTTGGGTTGGAAGAGACCTCCAAGATCATCAAGTCCAACCATTAATCCTACTCTACCATACTCTAACAAATCTTCCTCTAAGCCATAACCCCAAGCACCACATGTACACAGCTTTTAAACACATCCAGGGATGGTGGCTCCACCACCTCCCTAGGCAGCATGTTCTTTCAGTTAAAATATTCTTCCTTATGTCCAATCTAAACCTCCCCTGGAGCAGTTTGAGGCCATTCCCCCTTGCTCTACCACTAGTTACTCGTGAGAAGACACCAGCACCTTCCTCTCTACAACCTCCTTTCAGGTAGTTGCAGAGAGCAATAAGGTCTCCCTTCAGCCTTCTTTTCTTCTGACTAAATAGCCCCAGTTCCCTCAGCCCCTTCTCATAAGACATGTTCTATAGAGAGAAGATGGTGTTACAATAGGACTGCCCACAGAGAAAACACTACCAAGCTCATAAATACTTATACATACAAGGACAACAAGTTTCTCTTGAATGTGTGTGAATTATAGACCACTTCCACATTTCTAGGAGTTAGACATCTGTTTGGGGTCCTTGACTGTCCTCTTTCTTAACAACAAACGACGCTCCAAACTCATTAGAAAATTGTTTTAGTCCAAAGGTTCTCACATCTGCCTACATTTTGGTTGTTAAAGATTTCATGCATATGCCATCTAGCAATAAATTGTTGAGTCCAAGTTCTGGAAATCCAAACACCAAGAATTCAAAATGAAGCTCTGAGAAATAACACCTATAAAATGCTCAGCTGATTTATAGACTGGATGTAGGCAAATAGTATGCTACATACTTGTACTGACATTGAAACAGTGAGCTAGAGACAAAAATATTTTCCTCATCTTAAAAAAAATCCAAAACTGTACAAACCTTCACAAGTCTCTTCACAGTCAGCCAAGTTCTCTCTTTCTTTTGTTCCCTGTGTTGGTTCCTGCAGAGGAGACGACTGTGGTCTTTCCTGAGTCTTGAATGGACAGGCTTGAGAGTTTTGCTTGTCCACACAAGCCCCACTTGCTGTGAACTTGAACACGGTATCTTCTGAATCTGATGCAAAACTTGATAGATCAGGCTCCTGCAAGAAGCAGTGTTTCATGTGATAGTGCTGATGTGCACTCTGAAGGTCATCAAAATTTTTGCTGCACAGAGCACACCTAACAGTATACATCGGTTTCTTATGTTTCAGTGACACATGACCATTGAGATGACTTCTCAAATCAGCAAAACTCTGTGCAGTTGCAGAGCACAAGCAGCATCGAAACCATAGGTCTCCTTTTTGCAGCATGGCTTTCTGACAAGTCACATAATCGTTCCTCCTGTTTACCCTGGAGACGTAAGTCGTCCGGCAGCCACAGGTCAGACGGTGCCCGTTCTCTACCGGGAGGAAGTCGTCCTCTTTTTTTATTGATACCTCCATCTGCTCAGGCACAAATGCATAGTCCCTGCTATGAATCTCCTTATAATGGCTTAGAAATTCTTCTTCTGTGTCAAAGAAGAGATTACCACAAAGGCCACAGAAGTATTTAGTCTGCATCTCCTGGTTATGATGCTCTTGGAAGTGCCGCTGGAGCGTCCCTACTTTCCGGAAGTGACTTCTGCACAAGCCACAGCTGTACCTGTGGAACGCGTGGCTCTCCAAGGACGTGCAATGCTGTCGGACGCTCTCCTCGGTCTCAAACATCTCCTCACAAACATGGCACTGCCACTTTCCCAGAACAGGATGTTCTTCGTGGGAGGGTTCCACAGGACTAGGAATGCAGTCTTTGCTCTCACCTGCAGAAATGCACGCTGCATCAGAAGCGGAGGGCATTGGTTCATCTTCTAGCTCTTGCTCGTAATAGTAGCTATGTCCACCATGAAATTCAGTCACGTGCCCCATAATATCCTCTTCTCTGAGGAGATCTACAGAGCACGCTCTGCACCAGAAAAGAAAATTAGTCAGGTGTGCTCCCCCATGGAATCGACTCATATGCAGGCGGATAATGCTGGAATTTTCAGCGAGCTTTCCACACACGGCACACTTGTGACAGATTCTATTTGCCGATAAAATGTGCTTTTCTACCGACTCTTCTGTAAAAAACTTTTGAAGGCATTCACAAAACCAGGCTTTTACCTTGCTAGCAGTACTGTGACTTTGGGTTGCTACACAGTCTTCATTTTCATCTTTTAATTTGCTCTTCTGCTTTGAAGGAGCAGACTCGCTTTCGGCCAGGTGCCTTTTAAGCAGTGGTCTTGACCGATCCACAATATGGCACAAATGAGACTGATTTTTATTTTTACCATTGATATGACAGAACACCAAGATGGACTCTTCCATCGTAGTAAGAACTTTAATGTTATGTTGAGTGATTTGCTTATGCTGGGCGATCTGATTCTTATCAGCAAACAGTTTATCACAGTTCTCACAGTGACCTTTTGTTTTAAATATCTCTGCAACCTGGGAGATGCTCTTCTTTGACAGTGCCACAGGCCCAGAATTATGACAGCGTGTTCTAGAATGGATTAGAAGAATAAAAAGGTTATATCATAATCTAAAACATTTTTAAACTTTCAGATGGACTTTGAAATACTACATAGGAGCTACAGCAATTAGTGCGTGAAAACTGTCCTCTACATACTTCAAATCACCTACTAGCTTGCCAACAGAACCACACAACACCTACCTAGTCTGCTCTTTAAAGAGAATTAAGTGCTAATTTCCAAAACTAGCACTTAGATTGATGCTTATGTTGTTGACTCAGTACCTCTTAGAAATCAAATGCTGCCAAATTAGAAACAGTGGAACAGAGACCAAGTTCAGTTGTTTAGTTACAGAAGGTAGCAAAAAGAACAGACATCAATTCAGCTTTCTGCAGAGGACTGCATGGGGTAAGGCAGAGTACCAGACATGGAAAGGGGGCAGACTTTTGATAGTGTACTCAGGAAATCAACATTCAGATAGCCCTAGATGCTCTGAAATCCACCAGCACCAGCAAGAACACATCTGCCTACCTTTTATCAGTCTATCTATGGCTGTTGACATTGTAAAATACATCTGTCCCTTACAAACCTGAAATGAGCTGTTAATTCCATATGTGAGCGTAGTATCTTGTAGCAGGATATACACTTCACTTGGAAGGGGACCTCCTTGCACAGAGATATCAGAAGGTTCTTTGCATAGGATGGGAAAGGTAGAGGAAGGTCAGCCTCCAGTTCATCTGTAAGGTGGAATGGCAAAAGGGGCAACCATAAATCAGAGTTCTTCATAGTATTTCAGCTCTCAGATGACAGTTACAATTGTACTCCTTTATTAGGAGTTCAGAAAGCAAGTTACTGTTGTGTCAGCTGAGTCACAGTAATTGTGCAATGGAAGCTTTAAGCAAAACTGCATTAATGTTTTAAACTTCTCTAACAATCTTGTACCTGTAGGTGTATCTTGCTTTTTCATACTTGGCAACCGACTCCGCCTCCCTTTTCCTCCCAGAAGTTCAGGTCAGCTGTCTCTCTTAGGAAGGTTCTTACTGACTGTCTTCCCCTCTATCACTGTCTACCCTCACTACATAGACTTTTGCTTAAAGCCATAGTGTGTTTTAAAAAGATAAAGTGTACGCAATTCATTTAACAAGTTCCCACATACTTGGATCCTCTATCTCATTCCTTCCCATCCTCAATGTTAACTGTCCTTAAATATTTTAGGCACAGGACTTTCTGTTGTTCTGAGTACACATTCCATGGTACTAGCAGAATAAAAGAATTTCTATTGAAAGGAGAATGCAAAACAGATTATCTATATATTGCTGTAAATGTTCTGTGTCTTAGGAGGGAAATTTTCTTGGAATTTTATGCTTATAGTAAGATGTGATGATCAGCAGGGAGTAATTTGAGGTTATGCCTTTCAACTAACTTCACTGTTAGATGTAACAGATCATGCTGATAATAATAATAATCACAAACCACCAATGCAAAGGAAAAAATGTAGCACTTCCTTTTTTTGTTCTGGGCTAAGCACTACCTCTAAAGAAGAAAACACTAGTTTGTGTTTTTAATCTTTTTGAAGCAATAACTCACCAGTAATCTTTTTTAAAACCTATGGCCTGATTTTAAAGGCATCTACAGTGAGCACATTCAGAGTTAATAACCTATCTGAGAATAGAAGTCCATTAGATTTACAGTACATAAGAGAATTCAGAGCTATGCAGCTGATTGTCACTTCCAGGAAGACAGCAGTACTGACACAGCCTGCAGGAAGAATCCTTCAAATCCTGTCTTTATTCTACACTTCCTGCAGCCATTCTGGGGGAAGCTAGAAGATATAGTTATGAAGATGTGAAATAAGCATACCAATTGTTTTGTCTATGTATGCTTACCCTGAAAGCTACGCTACCTAGAATATGGCAGCTTCTTGAATAGGAACTCATCTAGATCTCATCTGTTACCTCCATTTACCTACTGTTAACATAAATGCTTTGATGCCTATTTGCCTATGTCAAAGCTAAAAAGTAATCTTTTTTGTCAAAACTAACAAGCAATTATATGGAGCAGAAACTTTCACAGGTCTTTTCCATCAGGAACCCTAAGGACAAGTGAAAAGAAAAACAGACTCCAGCAGGCTTTAGACAGTACAGTAAGGGGAAGGAACATCACAGCCAGTCTGACTGGAACTGAAAAAGACATCTGTGTTTTGGTCCAAGTTCTTAAATGTAAGCCTGTTTAAGGCAGTAGTTGCACAGAGTCAGTAGAGGATGAGAAGTTTATATCAAGAGACCATGGAGATAAAGGAAAGTCTGCTTCTCATGACAGCACCTGTGATGGAGTAACCATCTCTACACATAAATATGAATTCCAAAGCACCTCCTCTTACAGAACCTTATCACATTTAAGTCCTCAAAAGAACTCACTAAAAACCAAACTTTTAAACCTTATGCTTTTTTTACAAAGTAGAAAAAACATGTTTTCATAATATGAGGATCAATTATCAGAAGTAATGAAAAGCAGTCCACTTAGTAGCAACATACCACTCAATTTAGAAACTTGGAGGAAGTGGTTCTTTTCTGACATATGCTGCAAGCATTCATCACTTTTGCTGAAAAGGAGGAAGCAGGTTGGGCATGCAAAACACTGAATATGCTGTGGAGGGAGATCTTTTTTATGGCCATCATTTTCCTTTAGCTGGAAGAGAAAATAGTCTAGTTAGGAAAAATATTAAGTCACAAAACCAGTCCCAGTTCTCCTCATGTCCCTCCATTCCTCTCTCCCTTCCGTGTTATTATTTTCACTTCCAGGTTTTCAGCTACCACATCTATAGTTATCTACAGTCTGCCCCCATGCACTTCAGCTTGTGTGACACAAGGGACTCCCTAAACTGCCACTGTCAAACTCAGCCATTCATCCTTACTACACTGGCAACTTTTCCGTTGCCTTCTTGCACCATTGAGAGCAACCACCTTCCCCAGGAACTACAGGCTCCATCAAGACTTAGCTAGTCCTTTTACCCGGGCTGTCAAAAAAAATGCTGCACCTGTCACTAACAAGTGGCTTTCCTTATGTCAGTTCTTCCCTAATTTTGCTAACCTCCAACTTCACAAAATGCTGTTCCTCAGGGTAGCCTGACAGCCCCTTGACTTGTATCAAAGTCTGCTCCTTCCACCTCCTTTACCTTCTACATCAACTTCAGTTCTCTGCCTTCAGGGCAGAAACCCTTTAATTTCCTTTCTGACATTTTTGCTTACTCCTTTCTTAAGTCAGTGAATCTGCATGATACACTTATGCTTTCTTCCACAGCTTTATTCAGGATTGTCTCCCCATCCCTCTACACCAAAATAATACCATCCTCTTGCCTGCTGCAAGAGCCACTTCTTTTCCCCAAACTTGTCTGTAACTCCTGCTAATGCCCCTGGACACACCACAGGCACACAACTTGGGAGGAATGGAAAAAGAGCAGGGACAAACTATAAAGCAAACCTTCAAGCTTGTCAGGTGAGACTATGCATTGTGAGTTACTACTACCAGCTAAATGTAGTCCGACTTTCAAAGTATCTAAAGCTTCCCCGAAAATTAACACAGCTTCTGGAGACTAGCTAGGTACACGACAATATTTGTTATAAAAACACTAAACTGTCCATTATCTCGTTCAACACCAGACTGCTTAAACACAACCAAGCACCCAGGTGATGGCATCTGAGCATCTGTCAATGTACTGAGGCTTTACAGTGCTAAGTTATGATCAGAAGAGAAAAAGAGCATTCTTAAAAAAAATGAAAATAGCGGAGGTATTGTAAACAATGCAAAAAGCAAATGCTGTTAGTTTATACCCAAATGAAAACTCTGAAGTTCAGTTATCCTTTTCCCTGCTGGAAGTTAACTAGTGAGTAGCAGTAAATACATTTATCAGAGAGACTGGAAACAGAGAAACAGCAGTTGCATCTGAATCACCCAAGTTTCTTTTCTCGTTCTGTTGCCTCTTTTTCCTCCTTTCTGCTGCTTCTCTTTACTTGTTTCACCCTACATAGTTTTGGAGATGCAAAAAAAGAGAATACCTTTCGACAGCACCATTAGAGTGACTAGATGTTCAAGACAGAACTATGGTCCTCTATACTGGGAAGTACAACCTAATAGTCAGATTTAATGGGAGTAGTGTCAGGATACACCAGGTGTTTGAAACAGCAGAACAGCAGAATAACAAAAACAATCTTGAAGACTAAAAGAAGGGAGGGCAGAGAAAGAGTTAAAAGGAAAAAAAAATCATTGCATAATTATACATCCTAGAAAACACTCTACTACATTCAGTCATGTGAGTTACTTATCCTTATAATCTTGCCTTAGATAAAAGATGATCACTGTATTGCTGAGAGTTTGAAAATCGTTTGCAGCATATGACACAGGCAACAGCATTATTTGGGGGTCCATGTAACGTGACTGTTGGGTCACAAGGAGAATGATCAAACCTGGAGAGGAAGAAATAATTAACAAACTAGTCCCCTCTAAATAGTCAAAATCAGGTGTTTTTGGTTTTTGGGTGTTTTTAATTAAAGGGGAAAAATACTGTCTTTCAAAGCTCGTGGACAAAATCCTATCAAATCAACCGAAACTGTAGAATTACTCACTTCCCCTATCATTAACTATATCAGCTGAAATATCCTGTACAGAGGTGGTTCTCCCTGCAGCTTATCTGTTATAATTACCACTTCGCAGAGGAATCATACTGGTTTTAAGACCCAGAGAACTAATAAAGCCTCAATTTCCTACACAGGGATTAAAAAAAAATTATTTCTTTTTACATCCCTGCACGAGTTCTGCCTGGGATGGAGTTAATTGCCTTCACAGCAGCTTGTAGGGTGCTGTGTTTTGGACTGATGAACAGCATTGATAACAGAGGGATGTTTTAGTTACAGCTGAAAAGTGCTTGCACAGCATCAAGGCCTTCTCTGTTTTACTGTCCTACCAGCAATAGGACTGGGGGTAGACAAGAGCCTGGAAGGGGACACAGCAGGGACAGCTGACCCCAGGGATATTCTATGCCATATGATGTCATGCTCAGCAACAAAAGCTAGGTAAAGGAGGAGGATGGGGGATATTCACAGTGATGACATTTGTCTTCCCAAATAACTGCTATGTGTGATAAAGCCCTGCCTGCCATCAGGAATCCCTTATTTTGCTTTGCTTGCACGCAGTTTTTGCTTTACTATTAAGGTAAAATAAAACACTGAGGTGAGTAAGCAGCTGTGTGGGGCTGAGCTGCCTACTGGGGCTAACCCACAAGACTCCCCTCAGCTTCTGTCCTTACCATCCTCCTCATGACACTTTCAGTAGCTAAAAGGCTAGAATCGACCCCAGACACTCTGACCAGCAAAGATCAGCTATGAACAGATACCTGGCCTGTAGCTCTTGCTCCTATTTCCCTTCATTCAAGGCTTTTTTTTACCTTACCATCAAGTTGCATATGTTAGCCTTTTGCTCTTTTTCAGTTTTGGAGGAAGAAATAACAGAACTGGAGAACAGAAGTCTTATTTCTCAAAAAAACCCTTAAAAATGCTCAACAAGGATGGTGGGGGGAAATCACTTCTGAATGAAAAAAAAAAATAAACAACCACTCAGGAAGTTCATCACATCATCTACATAAAATCTGCTACATGTCAATCTGCTCTCCAAATGGAATTTTGTCACTATGAGCAGTTTAAAGTAGACTTGATGCTCATGTCCTCAGATCGAGCATATTCTTTATTATTTCTCACAGTGGGCTCTTGCACTATGTCCTTACCTTTGAAGGTGGCCTAGGAGAAGATGTCTGTTATCAAACTCTTTGTTGCAACGCATCACAGGACAAGATATTGGACTGCTGTTGACTTGCATCTGATTTGCCCTCTTATAAGCACCCCTTTTTCCACTGTTAATGGTGCCTGGTTTAAGACCTGTGTTAGAACACAAACCAGAATCTCAATTACAGAGGTTTAAGAAAACAAAGTAACACATAAGCCTTAAAGCAACTAAAAATCAAGTCATATTGATTCTTAGAAGCAAGCTAACAATTCACTGTAACTCAGTTATACTACAGTAAGTCTGCTCTTTCAGTTGAAGAATGTCTCTTCAATCCCCAGTAGGATTACTTTTCAAGCACTTATACTTACTTAGGTAGACATTTTCCTGAGCAACAGTTCAACAGTAATATTTCTCCTTCTAGCAACTTTGTTCATAGAAGTAGTTGACATTTCCTTAGTGGTTTTTAGACTTTATATATTAAATATTCTCAGCAGCAAATCATTAGAAGAATAGATTTTATTCAAGTGACTGTATAAGACCTTTCAAATGCCACATTCTAGTGAAGTTAATACTGTAAGATTTGGTTACACAGAGGTACCTGCAAGCTGAATGTCAGTACTGCTCAAAGCAATTATCTACTGTATCTATTGTTCTATTGGAACTTGGAAAAATATAACAGGAAACTAAGTTTCAGTGATCTTACCTGGCATTTTTAACCACTGGTCCACACATAACCTTGCAGCTTCTGTGTCGCTGCGTTCTCGAATAAATTCTAGTTCTTGCAACCCATGAGCATATTGGGAATCAACTTTCTCCTGAAGGGGAAAACATATCAGGTGAGGTGGTGGTCAAGTTTAAAAAGAAAAATAATTTGACATTATGTATGCACACCAAAACTTACATGTGGGTAAGTAAAGGTAAAAACCTATGAACAAAAAAAACCCCACAAACCCAAAAAAAAAATTGGGGGGAGGGGTTTAACCCCCAACCTTACAACCTGATTGACTTCCATATAATACAATAAAGAAGGAACGTAACAGTAAGAAAAACGCAAGAGTACTCATTTTTGTGCTCTAAATAAAATCTACATCTTAGGTCAATTAGTTTATTTCTGCTGCACCTACTGGAGTTGCTAAAGCATGTACATAAACAGGAAGATTATAAGATTATAGAAAGAAACAAGTAATAATGAAATTTAAAAAAATAAAGCAACACAAAATGTTTACTGACACCAAAGAGTCAATTTGTTCTACTGCTGAGGCAAAAAAAACCCAAACCAAATCAAAACACCAAAAAGACACAGCAGTTTCAGCTTGAAGAGTAATTTTAATTCTGCACATTGCATTACCTGATGAGGAGTGAGAACCTGCCCAGCAGGAAAATATCCAGTATTTATAAAAATATTTTTTAGCTTTCATTCTCAAACTCTAAAAGCTAAATAGCTATCTATGACTCCACTTTAGTTGAAAAACTGTATGTGGAGACATTAATGGATTGCCCAATTCAATTGGAGCAGACAGCAGAAGGATGTAGACCTCTGGACTTCAAGGCTACTTGGACTATATCTAACAACCTTTTACTCTGTTGTATTACAGTTATATAGTCTATTGTAGACTATAACAAGCTGTAACTACAATGATGTGACTTTAAAAGCCATTAACAGCATTCAGAAAATTAGGCTGCAAAGTCAGCATGTTCCACAAATACTCTGTTTGCATTTATCCCTGTTGAACTTCATGAAATTCTTGTAAGCCCCTTCCTTCAAGCTGTCCAGGTGCTGCTAACAGGAGCCCTACCCTTAAGCCTACTGACTTTACCTCCCACTTTGCAATAAAATATTACAAATCCTTGCATTTCAAATGGCTGCATGATACAATTAACAGGATTCAACTTGAAAATTATGTCTTATACGTTGAAAATTTTATCCCATTATACCATATTACCTGATACAGAGATTTAAAGTAGCAAATGGCTTCCCTAATATCTCAGACAAAAGCAGGTAGATAACTATTTTTGCTGCGTGATGGTTTGCAATAACTGTTGTTTTTTTCAATTATTTAACCAGAATAATTGATGCTAAGGTCCCTTTGCTATATATACGAACAAGAGGACACGTTTTTGCCATTAGCCTGCATTAAGATATTTTTCCCCCTTAGGAACTGCAGTAAGATTAGCAAACTGACCAGTGAAAGCCACAAGAGAGACAAAGTCCATATTGTGTTTAAAATGGCATCCCAGAAACAAAAAAAAAGTCTCTAGGTGCTAGTTCCAGGGCTGGCTCACCAATCTTTTTATTTTCTTAGTATTGAAAACAATCACACCATAGACTGCAAGGCCTGTATTATGCAAAAAACAAAACAAAACATCCAGTACCTTAAAGGCTTTGTTTTTCTCTTCCTTTTGCCTCTTCTCTACTTCAACATGGCGTGCCAGACGATCCAGGGTCGAGGCAACTCGTTCTTTCTGATAATCAATGTGATCTTTACGCTTAGTATTTCTCTACAATTGAAAATTTTATTTGGTAGTTATTAAGTACCAGGCACCAATATGGTGAAAAGTGCTGCCCAAGCACCAGGACATAATTCAGTATACACAGTCTGATCCTAAGTTTCATGATCTTTCTTGCTAGTTTTCCTCCTCCTATTTATCAGCAACTGTAACTGCTGTTAAAAAACAAAAACAAAAACAAACAACCCCCTATCTGCTTACATATTCAAAGCAATTCAACATTAGCCTCACCAAAGCACTAGAAGAAACATGGATGACTGCACTGGGTGTCCTAGAATTCTCCAACAAACTAAAGATTAAGTCAATTCTTCTCAGTAGGTAAACAAAGTTTCTAAAAATTCCAAAGCCAACACGCAGCCCATCTGAAACACTGAGAACTTGTATCATTCTTATTCTGAGACAACATCACCCACTATCTAAAGAAAGGCAGATCATTAACTTTTTCTAGCATAAGGGATAGGCCCCACACTGCAGTTTGCTCCTGTTGCACAACCAGCTCTAGCGATCATCACTGCAGAGTAAAGCCACAGAATACCCACCTTCCCTTAAGAACCAGGTTTATTACACACATCCACTACTGCAATGCTGGAAAACAGAACTCAAGACACGGCCACTGCTGCCAAAAACAGCTCTAACCAGAGTCACTCTCAGTCCCTGTCCCTCTCAAAGGCCTCATACAGTAGGCACAATAAGCTTGGGAGATATGTGAATTGATTAGCCCGCTTCCAACTCATGTGTTCTTAGGAGGGATTATGAAGAATAAGGCTGAATTAAGACCAGGTTGTCAGCAGACTAAGGTCCTCCAACCTATAAACTGCTCCTACAAAGCTATTTTAGAAGGAAAAGGCCTGGGTGTAGGCCAGACACTGGACACGACAACTTCTGAGGTCACTTATAAAGTGACATTTTTGTTCAACATACTTGCTAAACAAGTGAAAGCCAAATAAAAGTTCCACATCCACTTCAGGAAAACAAAAAATGGCTCTGGAAAAAAAAATAAAGTGTTTGCATCCTTACCTTCCACTCAAGAGTAGGTAAAAAGGAAATAAACCAACACTGAAGTCTTTTATCACTTGTAAAAATAACTCTAACTTTTGTGAAGAGTAATGGATGGGCAAAAACCATAGGAGACTAATTATTTTATTCCACCGCTAAGTCCCAAAATACATGACAACATACTCACAGGAATGTAACTACTGCTGTTAGGTTCTTCATCCTCACTACTGACAAGATCAATGCATTCAAGTACAGGTCTTAAAGGTCCTTCCTGAAAAAGAGTGTTAAAAATGCACACACAAGTGTTATATCATACTCCCCAGAGAGAAAACATTGCCTGCATTACAGCACATTGCCAGCATTAGCAATACCTGAAGGAGAATTTCACCAAGGTTTCAAGAGGGTGCAGTAATAAAATTCCCACATGGCAACTTTTCCACTTAACAGACTAATCCACAAAAGCACACATGATCAGTAAGTACTCTCAACTGAAATATCAACTTAATATACAGGTATCAGCTGGAAAAAAAAAAAATCAAATTAACAGCCTTGGTTTGCTTAGTAATCTTATATTCTTCACCTTCTCAAGCAGCTTAGATCAACACTTTTAAAGATCCACAACTTGTGCCATTAATTTAAGGGTAACGGTAGTAGGCTGTTACCAATAGAACAGCCTTAGATTTCACTATGCAATGTTAAATGTTTTTTTCTCCTTGTCTTTCAGGTTTTGTTTTTAAAAGACAAATACATTCCAACCCCTAAAGTGTGGTGGCTTGAACTTGGCTGGATGCCAATGTCCGAACTGCTGTCACTCCCTCGCTCATAAAGGGGAAATAAGGTAGAAAAAACTCATGGCTCAAGATAAAGTCAGTTAAATAAAGTAAAAGCAAAGGCTGCACATGGAAGCAAAGGCAAACAAAATATTTATTCTCTGCTTCCCACCAGCAGGCGATGTCCAGTTACTTATTGGGAAGTGGGGCTTCAGCACGTGCAGCAGTTGCTCCCAAAGACAAATGTCATAACAACAAGTGCCCCATCCCTTCCTCCTTTCTCTTAGCTCTAATTGTTGAGCAGGCATCGTACGATATGGAATATCCCTTTGGTCAGTTTGGGTCAGATGTCCTGAATATGTCCCCTCCCAAGACCTTGCTCACTCTCAGCCTACTGATGAGGGGGCAATGTTGGAGAAACAGCCTTGATGCTGTGCAAGCACCGCTCAGCAGTCACCAGAACTAGTGTGTTGCCAGCACCTTTCTAGCTACCAGTACAACACACAGCACTAGGAGGGCTAATGTGGGGAAAATTAACTCCACCTCAGCTAAATCCAACGCAAAAAAAAATTAAACTCCTTAGGCATTTCAAATATTTAAAAAGTTAAGAAAGTGGAAAACAGTTTCATACACATTTAAGCCCCAAAGGGCACTCCTTTCTGAGCAGATACTCTATAAGCAGGTTACAGGTGTCTTCTCTGTATTGGAATCACAAAGAGGGGGACTGCATTTTATGTTAAAAGAAAACATTTCACCCATTCACACCATGTACTCAAAAGTACACGTAGGATAGTCAGAGCAGACTGGCATCTTGAAGACAAGCAGTACTATATCCACCATCTCTGCCATATATTTGGCAGTGTCCTCAAGATCTCCACAACCAGCCAGCTAGGACAGGCTAGAAAGATTCATGGCCTGATGAAGAGCAGCAGAGAGAAGAGCAGCATGCAATTCTCCCTGCTGGCCTTACTGCACCTCATTCCTTACATTCTTCCACCTTTCAAGGCCGTAAAGCTGTTCAGCTGGCCAGGCATAAACAGGCCTCATTTTCTCCCTGGGCAGCAAGAGGGATGAGATCTTGGACAGGTGACAAAAGCTTGTATGAATCAAGCTGCAGGCCTCAAACTACCCCAAAAGAAGGTTTAGCTTTTAATGATTAAAGAGAACATGGTTTTCTAAATGAAATCTAAAAAAAAACACAATTCATGACAGATGTGCTTTTGTAGAAACTTAGAATCTCTATAAACTTACTCGAAATTAAATCTTTATTATGGTGTTAGCAAGTAACAGTTCAAAGACACTCTCAAACCACCTGACTGTCCAATCAGTTTAATGACATTTTTGGAAATGTTCAACTCTGACCTGAACAGCTGTAGCTTCTTCAAATGCCAAGATTTTCCTTGTTTACCCACTCCCTGGGTTCAGCAACTAATCAAAAGTTTGGACATGGGATAGCTGAAAAGCAGAGTAACTTCCTTTCAAGCCTAGAAAGTTTTAGTGACCAGAACAGCAAATTCAATTTAAAGCAAGTAATATTACCCTTGTTTAAATATTGTTTGCATACATGAAACATTCAGTTTTATTCCCCAAATTCTATGCCTCTTACTATATAATTTTTGGGCTGCATTCCAATCTGAACTTAAAAACAATACGTGAATTCTTTAAAATGACTCCACAAAGTTATATGCTTTTACTTTCCACAAGAAGTAAGATTGGGGGAAAAATGCAGACAAACCACCATGCCACTGACCTATATATGCTCCTGAATAATAATGCAAGTCCCAAATGTAGCATTTATTTAGGCTAGTTCATGTTTCATTGAACGGTTGTATCCATGAGATGAAGATTAAAAAAAATATTGAAATTAAGAGTGTAAGAACTACAGTCCTGGGTCTGATCAAGAACTCATTTGTGCTACAAAGAATATTTTTGGAAAGTGTAAGAATTGGGGAAAACAGTATAAACCCATCCCACGTATACCCACGCAGCAATTGCTTAAGTCAGTATATGAGAAGCCTTGACTGAAAGCTATCATTGAACGTCACAGCACTGATTTAGATCCATCCCAGCTGAGTGCCATTACATAGAAAAGACTCCAAATACTCCTTCTAAAGAGACAGTGACTTCAGCATGGGCTCATTCTAACAGGAGTGTTTCTCTTTGACAAAAGGTGTTGATACCAAAATGAAAGTGGAAGTTCAAAGCCTCTTTTTGTAGTGTCCCAGAACAGAAATCATCCTCATGTCTAGAATCACTCTCCTCTTCAAATGTTCAGCAGCCTTCTGAGAATTTCATACAAGCCATAGCTTCAGACGGATGTCCTGTATTTTTAGCCTTGATTGGAGAAGTGGTGCCAGGTGAAATGGCCTTCTTCCAGCAACTCCAAAAACAGTCCCCATTAACCCTC